GACCTGCCATGGCTACCAGGTTTCTCAGTTTTGTGGACTTTTATCTCTTGGGAGCGGATGAGTCCAGGAAATAGAAGCACACTCCTGATGTGGGCTTTTCAATTCCAGATCCTGGGCATTTCCTTCATTTGGACAATTGTCGCTTCCCTGTCTCTATCTTAGTTTATTTATCCTTCTCTGATGGAACCCGCGGATGCTCACATACCAAGATCCTTATCATAGAGATGGAAGAGAAGCTGACCTTTGAATATTCTTAACAAATGAAACAGTTTTCAAAGTACTGATATCAACAAGACTGTGGACTGAACTCCAAGTCTGATTCATTAGTCAGATAGGCCTGAGCTTATGGTCAAAACAGATGTGCAGGAAGGGGTACATGTCTCAAAAAGATACGGAGAATTTCCCCTTGACTCTCGAGTCGACCAGCACCCACCAGACCTCTCTGTACTTCCGTGCTCGTCTGTGATTCCACAAGACTGCGCTGTCACAGCCACTCAGCTCAGAAAGAGCAGGTGGCCTCTTGCTCGTGAGGTCCCTGCCCTACACAGAAGGAAGCCCAGAAGCCCTTTCTGGCCCCCTCTCACCCACCAGCTGCAAATTTTAAACAAGCCCCTGTTGAATTTCAGTTGGTGCTCTTTACTTCTTGTAGAATCACGCTCCAGGTGAGCTGCGGGGTGACCAGGGGCTAGCATGTGCCCTGCGCTTGCTTCATGAACACTTGTCCCCAAGGCATAATCTGATTCACCGGATCCTTACTTACAGACTGTAGCGAGACCCAAGCTAGAATCGTGTTTTTCTAATGTCCAGTTCATATAAGGAAAGACTGTCTAGTTTTCAAAAAGGTACAGAGTGGATTTTATAGAGGAAGTCTACCTGCCAAAATTTTGGAGACCAATGTTGACTTGACTCGAGGTTTGAAAAATAGTATGTTTAAAATAACAGCAACAGTAAAAATAAAAGAGAACCTCACTATGCATTCCCATTAATTTCAAAAATTCAAGAACATCATACCTATTCATGTGGATAATGTCAAAGGATAATATTGAAGGATAATATTAGTGTGGATAATAGTAAGTAAAGAAGACAGAACATAACGAGTGTTGATGAGGTGGTAAAGATACGGGAACCCTTTCGCATTGCTGACGGAAGATAAAAGAGCGCGCTATTTTGGAATAGCTGTGGAAAATAGTATGACAGTTCCTCAAAAATTGAAACATGAAATTACCACATGATGCAGCAATTCTACTTCTGGATATATTCCCCAAAGAAGGGAAAGCAGGGATTTGAACAGATCTTAACACACCAATGTTCGTGGCAACGTTATTTCCATTTGCCAAAAGGTGGAAACAACCCATCCAAGCAACAGATAAATTGATAACATAATGTGATATACACATGAAATGGAATATTCTTCAGACTTAAAGTGGAATGAAATTCTGACCCATGCCACAACATGGGTGAACATCGAGCACATTATGGTCAGTGACATAAGCCAGTCACAAAAGGACACATAGTGTACAATTCCACTTATGAGGTATCTGGTGGGGGGCGGGGTCAGATTCATAGAGACAGAAGGTACAATGGTGGGTCCTGACCCAGAGTGGGGGAGGGGTGGGAGTGTTTAATGGATACAAAGTTTCAATTGGGGGCGATGAAAAATTTCTAGGGAGGGATGGTGGGGACAGCTGTGCAACAATGTCAACATAGTTAATGCCACTGAGCTGTAGACTTGAAAATGGTAAGTTTTACGGTATATATATTTTATCACCACAATAAAAGTAAAAAACACGGTGAATTAAAAGTTAGAAAACATGTATCATGCACGTAGAAGAACTGGAAACCCTGGAAAGCCTTGGAAGGGGCCATCTCGATTAAGGATGGGACGGAAGTGGTGAAAATCAGTGTTCTGCCTCACGTGATTCCTTTGCAGCCCTCCTCAAATCTTCATCAGCTTCTACTAAACTCTCCAATGCTTGATGTGCATGATTTTGTTGAAGGAGTAAAAAAGACCTCTGCTTTATAGTCAAGGCTAGAGAAGACCAGAAGAAAACAGTCGTCCATGGGAATGGTCAGAAATCTCGGGAAGGGTTTTGGATTTCTATAGCTTTTACAAGCCCTAGGCAATTTATAAGCTCTAGGAAATTCCACCTAGTTTTTCCAGAAGAGAGAATTTCCCAGGTCTTATCTGGATTATAAATGTATTAGCCAAAATCTAGTTTTTATAAAAACAGGAAAAAAAAAAACAACAACCCTGATGATGAGTCATTACTTTAGGAAAATAATATTAGTTCCTATTGGACAAAAACTCTCAGTGTTTATATGAGGCATTGGTTTCTCTTAGAGCATCAGGTAACATGAACATTCTTCCCCATAATAAAACACTTGGACATGCTGATGTAAAATATGCGAGGCATGCTGCTGTTAAGACCTCCAATAAGTTGGCCCTATGTGTTCTTATGTGCTAACATCTTTTACATTCCTGTTTATTTTGCACATCTTCATATTTGTCATGCTTGCTTTAAATTCTTGGTTCATATGGTTTAATAATTCACTTTCTGGGGCTATATATTGTCCAGTTGGTTATCTTTCTTTTGGAGTCCAGCCCAAAATGGCTTCAGCCCTTCCAGAATATTCGCTTGGTTTTTGGATAGTCTCTAGTATTTCTGTTTGCTTTGTGCCCCACAAGGTTCCTCTAGAGGGGAGGGGGGGGGAAGGCAGGAGATGATGCCAGTTTGCAATACCAGAAGGATCCAGAAGCCAATGCTTCATATTTCATATATCTTTAGAATATCAGCTGGGCTTCTCTTGTCTGAAATATAATGGCTATGTATCATAGGGTCTCAGGCATCTCTGAAGCAATCTTCTATATTCTGTTTGGTTTTTATTTATAATTAAGAATTGATTGGCAGGGCTCCTGGGTGGCTCAGTTGGTTAAGCGTCCAACTTCAGCTCAGGTCATGATCTCACAGTTTGTGAGTTCGGGCCCCGCATCAGGCGCTGTGCTGACAGCTCAGAGCCTGGAGCCTGCTTAGGATTTTGTGTCTCCCTCTCTCTCTGCTCCTCTCCCACTCTCTCTCTCTCTCCTCTCTCTCGCAAAAATAAATAAACATTAGAATAAAAAAAAAAAGAATTGATTGACAATCTAGGAATTTTATCTAATTGAATAAAAACATGCCAGGTATTCCTTAAAGCAGAAAATATATTTTCTTAGTGTGGTTTATACCAATAGTTTATATTTCTATGTATTGGTGTGGAAATTTCTCCCTTTCTACCGTCAGAAATTCCATAAGACGCATCAGCTGCTCTGATTAAAAGGTTTTAATGAATTTCATATGCACAAAATTCATAAAAAGCGTTCAGTTAAACAACATTGCCATCTGGGCTTGAGATAATTTTATCTGGTTTATATCCATGGAGATTCACTCTGGCTGGGATTTTCCGCCTCTGGGTGGCATCTGAGAAGGGGTCCCTGGTCATAGCTCATTGGCGCTGGGGCTGGTGACCATCAGTGCCAGATGCAGCTGCACCAAGGATTTCGTCTCAGTAGCACCTGACATGGTGCTTTGCCATGGATTTAGAAAGTCAAGAAATAGATTAGAATAGTCCATAGACTATTGGACTATTGGACTAGTCCAATAGATTAGTCCATATTCACTTTATACATTGCACTATTCTTTTAAAACTGTGTTCTTATTTATTTATTTTGAGAGAGAGATCACAAGTGAGCAGTGGAGGGTCAGAGAGAGGGAGAGAGAATCCCAAGCAGGCTCCGTGCTGCCAGCACAGAGCCCAATGTGGGGCTCAAACTCACGAACCGTGAGATCGTGACTTGAGCGGAAATCGAGAGTCAGCCACTTAACCGACTGAGCCACCCAGGCGCCTCTACAAATTGCACTATTTAAAATTTAGCAACACTTGGGGCGCCTGAGTGGCTCAGTCGGTGAAGCGTCTGACTTCAGCTCAGGTCATGACCTCACGGTTTGTAAGTGCCAGCCCCAAATCTGGCTCTGTGCTGACAGCTCAGAGCCTGAAATCTTCACATTCTGTGTCTCCCTCTCTCTCTGCCTCTCCCCCACTCCTGCTCTGTCTCTCTCTCTCTCTCTCTCAAAAATAAACATTTAAAAATAAATAAATAAACAAACAAATACATAAATAAATAAAATGTAGCAACACTTAGGTCAAATGTAAATGTTTAAAGAAATTTATGCTGGCAGTGAACTAAGAAAGTAGCAAGTGGATGGATGTTAACTGGTTTAGGAATTAAACTACCTCAGATTCTGTTTTCCCAAATTCCTGTTTATTTATTTATATTTTACTGTACATTAATCCAGACTGGCTTGCTTCTCCTTCCTAGCATTCTGTACAGAGGGTTAGAATATTTATTTCCTACTTGGGCATTGAAGAAAGTTTAGCGAAATTTAATCACATGCACATATGCAATCATATGTGGAGAAATGGGCATTCTGGTAACAATGAACAGAGGAAAAATAGCGTTTCTACAAGAGTAAGGTTAGAAGAGGAAGAAATAAATTCTCCAGGAGCTCCTGGCTGGCTCAGCAGGTAGAGCAAGAGACCCTTGACCTCGGGGTTGTGGGTTTGATTCCCACATTGGGTGTAGAGATTACTTAAAAATAAAATCTTAAAAAGAAAGAAAGAAATTCTCTAGCAGTAGGGTAACAGTGAGTATTGTTTCCTTTATTTTGGGGAAAGCTGATCGGCAGACACCTTGCAAAGAGACCTGTCTGAATGGTCTGCCTCGAGCGAGCTGTCTGGGGTCAGCAGAGCAAAAACAATGTCAGTTAATTATTCGTCATCCCAAACTCCTTGGCATTCCATCCGCAATCAGACACAGACTGTCTCTGGATGATCTCGGCCACGCCTCCTCCTTAAGCAGCGCCATCTAACTTAGGCTAGGTTTACTGGGAATTTTCTCAAAACCAAAACATTTCCTCCTGCCACCTTTATTTTTATTACAATGTAGTTAGGGCTGTCTTTTTTCCTTTTTTTTTTTTTTTTTTGGTCTGCTGGGGGTGGGGGCAGAAAACAAAAATAGTGCAATAGACAAAGGATGGAATAGCTTCTAATTTATTAACCTTTACCTCTTGTTAAGAGGCAGAGACAGAGCATGAGCAGGGGAGGGGCAGAGAGAGAAAGACACAGAAAACGAAGCAGGCTCCAGGCTCTGAGCGGTCAGCCCAGCACCCAACTCAGGGCTTGAACTCACAAACCGTGAGATCATGACCTGAGCCCAGGTCGGCTGCTTAACCAACTGAGCCAAGTGCCCCAGAATAGCTTCTAATTTAAACATACCCCAGGACTCATATCACAGTAGAGGCAATCTCTTGATTACTGCCCAGTAGGCCACATGGGGGCACTGTGGAACCGCTGAATGCCAAAAGTCGCCTGGGCAGAGCAGGGGCATGGAGCCAGCTATCTGGGACCAGGAGGGTTAAGGAAAGCCTTGCTTGGAGCTCTGTTCCACTACAGGGCTTAATGCTATCAACACTAATTTGAGATTGTGCAGTCCCATCAGGGGGCCAAACCTTCAGCTTGGCAGTCATTAGGGAGTCTCTCTGAGCTTGCAAGGGGAAAAAAGTGCAGTGTGGTGCTGGGAGGGGGCAGACTCCTTGCCCTAGCAGGAACAGGTAGAGGAACACCCGCCTGAAAGGAAAAGCCGAGGAGCTGTGGACGCGCCTGTGGCTTAACCCCAGCTAGCCTAGACCGTCCCAGCCCTGCCCTTCATGTGAGGGGCTTTGCCGAACAAAGCAGGGTTCCTGGACCGGCGTAGCCAGGGACCTGGCAAGGGAGGCTCATGGGAACCAGGAGGGATAATGACATTGGAGCAGTGACATTACTGCCTAACCTCCAGTCAGAGAAGGGATGCCCAGATCTTCAGCTCTCGGAGACCCAGAACTCTGAGCGGGGAGAACCCTGTCAAGTTCTGCCCTCCCCGCTGCATGCTGTGGGCTGCAGCCTCCTCTGCCACACGGACCTTTGTCTCCTGGGAGCAAGTTTGTCCTTGTCCAGGTAGGACATCTCTCCTCTAAGCGTGACAGCACCTAAGTGCGTGGCACCATCGGGCTCCCTCTCGTGTTCGTTCCCCAGCCCCTGTGTCCTTCCCTCACAGGCCCAGTGGAGGCTGGAGCCACCCAAACTTCAAGACATCTGATCAAAGCAAGTGGACAGCAAGTGACTCTGAGATGTTCCCCTCTCTCTGGGGGCTCCAGTGGATCTTGTTACCCACCGGCCCTGGGTCAGGTCCCAGCTCTCCTTTGCATATTAGGATGAGTTACAGTAAGCAAAACGACCCTTGCCAGATTAGCTCTCAGTGCGACATTTGGGTGACCGTCTCTCTGATCTGCACATGAACTTCTCGAAGCCACAGGGCTCGGCACAGCCCTGCAGAGTTGCCAGAGTGGCGATGTGGGAGTGGTGACGTCATAGGCAAATACTCCTTTCAGGGAAATGGGAGGTTCAAAGCTTTAGGCTGCTCACCCCCGGGGCCCCCACCCCTGAGCTGGATGATATCTTGGCTTCCCAGTGTTGCCATGGGCTCCAGGCTTCTCTGCTGCGTGGCCCTTTGTCTTCTGGGAGCAGGTGAGTCCTGGGCACCGCGTGGAAGCCTCCGATATGCGTTTGCCACCTGAGTAATACAGGCTTGCTGATGATGGTTGCAGCAGGAGGCGTCCCCCCAGCTCTGCCCTCGGCTGCTTTCTCCCTCCTCCCCCGCAGGCCCAGTGGATTCCGGACTCACCCAAACTCCAAGACACCTGGTCAAGGCAAGAGGACAGCAAGTGACGCTGAGTTGTTTCCCTATCTCTGGACACCTGTCTTTGTACTGGTACCAACAGGCCGTGGGCCAGGGCCCCCAGTTACTCATTCAGTATTACAACAGGGAAGAGAGAGGCAAAGGAAACTTCCCGGAACGATTCTCGGCTCAACAGTTCCCTGACTCTCACTCTGAGCTAAACATGAGCTCCTTGGAGCTCACGGATTCGGCCCTCTATCTCTGTGCCAGCAGCCGTAACATAGCCCTGCACGATCCACAGCCTACTGTACAAAAATATCCGCCCCCTCCCAGCTCAGGAAGTGGGCTCTTGTCCTGGTAAAGAGAGAGGCCTCTCCCAGACACTCGTTCTGCTGTTTATGTGTGTGACACGTCTTAATGCTCACAGAAATCATGCAAGGTTAAGTATTATTTTACCCTTTTACCTGAGGAGAAGTGGCTTTCCCGGGTCTCAGAGCAAGAAATCAAACTCAGTTCTGTTCCTCAACACCTGTGGTTCTCCCCTGCCCAGAAATGTCCCCTGATCTGGCTTCCCTTCCCAGGTCCAGATTAGCAGGACGGGAAAGATCATGCATCCATATGTGATCATCACAACCTCCTCCTGGGAAGAGGAACAGACCCAAACAGTTGTGGGTCCCTTGCTTTGTACAAGATACCGTATCACATAAAATGCAAAATGAAAATCAGTATGTTTCTTGTCTTTGACAGTTTTAGCATCTGCAGTATTCAATGCATAATATTCGTCTTAAATATTTGACTATTTCTATTGGATTCACCTGTCACCCGAGTGTAGGAGAATCACAACACTGCAAGTGCTGGGTACGTGAATGCACGACCACGGTTCAATTCTGCAGCAGGAGAGACTCACAGAAGAAAATAACACTATTACTTACTGACAACCTACTATATGCCAAATAAAAGTCCTTTATTTGCAAAATTTCAATTAACGATGAGAAAAAAAAAAAGCCTAAGAAGCAAATGCAATGACTGCTCTCATTTTAGAGATGAAGGGATTTGCCCTTAAGTTAAAGAACTTGACCATATTGAATATCAGCTGGTGAGGGGCAGATGTGGGACTCAACCCCCACCCCCACCCCCCAGGGCGCGGGGGGGGGGGGGGGGGGGGCGGCGTGCTGGGCGGTGGGTGGGGGTCTCTGGTATCAGGCATATTGAGTGATGCTGATAGATATAAAACCAGAATGCTGCTGCCTGTTCTTCTCAGCCTGGGTAGCTCTAATGACATCGTTGACAGAGATCGGTTTACCCGGGAGAAAGGGGCGTGGGAAAGAGTTCCGGCTGGCCGCTGTGTGTGCCTGGCTCTAATTTCAACTCCAATACAAGCCACTGGTCAAGACCTGAAGCCAGCTTCTTGACATGGTGGGCTGAGAATTTTCACGTAGGAAATGAGACTAATAATATCTATCAGCATCACTCAGAGTACTCCAAAGAAACAAAACAGACTGTGTGTGTGTGTGTGTGTGTGTGTGTGTGTGTGTGTGTGTGTGTGTAACTTATTTATTACAGAGAATCAGCTCACACAACTGGGGAGGCCAGTAAGTTCAACATCTGTGAGCTGAGCTGGTTGTGCTGGAGACCCAGGAGGAGCTGATGTCCAAGTTCAAAGGCTGTTGAGCATGAAGAGTTGATGTTCTGATTCGCAGGCCAGCAGCTGGACAATTCTCTCTTACCTGGGGTAGAATCAGTCTTTCTGTTCTATTCAGGTCATCAGCTGATTGGATGAGGCCCACCTACGTTATGGAAGGCAATCTGCTTTACTCTACTGTCTAAAATGTTACTCTCACCTAATGTTAAAATCTACCTATGTAAATGTTAACCACATCCCAAAACACCCTCTCAGGAACCCCCAGAATGATATTCCACCAAGTGTCTGTGTACCCTGTGGCCAGCCAAGTTGACACACAAAATTAGCCATCATACTAACTTCTAGGTTTGTATAAAAGATTTAGGGGTGCCTGGGTGGCTCAGGCATTTAAGCATCCAACTTTGGCTCAGGTCACCATCTGACGGTTTGTGAGTTCGAGCCCTGCATCAAGCTCTGTGCTGACAGCTCAGAGCCTGGAGCCTGCTTCAGATTCTGTGTCTCCCTCTCTTTCTGCCCTTCCTCCAGTCTCTCTCTCTCTCTCTCTATCTCTCTCTCTCTCTCAAAAATAAGCATTTAAAAATATTTTTAACCACTAATAAAATTTAATAAGCCAAAGTACCTAGCACATAATAAGAATCTGGATATATTGATTCCTTGTGCTAATCCCTGACAGCTTTTTCCCCCATTTCCTATGTGCAAAGGTAGATATGGACACATTTTACCTAAAACTCCTATAGCTGTCACAGAAATGTTAATATTTATGCCTGATGATTCATTTTGAAATTATCTAGGGCATGTAACATACATCCCTTCTCAGCCATTTTAAAATAAACTTTATTGACATAAGAATTATATACAATAAGCATTCCACACTTTAAATGAACAGAGCAATGATTTTCTTTTGCAATTTATATGCATGTACCCATGTAATACACACCCTACTAAGATACAGAACATTTCTACCGCCCAGAAAGTCCCCTCATGCTCCTTTCAAACACCTCTCTCCATCTCTGACAAGTTAGTGATATGATTTCTATTGCTATAGATTAATTTTGCTGAGGCATCTTTTTAATGGACATTTCAAGTCTCTACCTGTTACAATAATTCACAGATAAATATTCAAGAGAGTGAGGTGCTTCTAGAAAGTTCTGTGGATAAGGAGTGCTTGAAATCATGTGAGATACCTGATCCATGTCAGGGACAACTCTATCTGGAGACAGATGGTTTGAAAAAAGGATCACCGAAAGCTCTTTCTAGCTGTTTGCAGCTGTTTCTATAAAATGTACTTACTCATTTGAATTCATTTCTTTTTTTCATGTGTCCCTTCATTCAAATTATTTTATAACAGAGTGTTGACACAAATTCATCATCTCCAAGGACATTATTTTGAGTTCCTATCAGATGCATACATAGCTGGGTTTCATGTTCACACACTGTGTGCTGGGGCTGAGCAGACCACGGGCAACTGTGGCTTTGTTGAGCGGTCATTCCATGTTGGAAGAAGGGTCCCCTTTGTCCGGACCCAGTGCCGAACCCTCAAAACACAAGCGTTGAACTGGAAGATCCCCCTTTCCATTCTGGCCTGCCACCATTCTGCACTGTGTGTTCTTCTCTCTCCTAGACCAGCGACGTCCCAGGCATAGACGCGAAACCCACTCATGGGTTTGCATGGCCCCAATTCAAGGCTCGACATTGTGGTTATAACATCAGGCTCCCCTTGGGTTCCAGCTTTAGTGCCTGTGTCCTTCTCAAGGCCCCAGAGATGCCGATTCACTGAGCCTCCAGACATGTGGTCATGCTAAAGGGAAACCAGCAGACAGGAAGGTGACCACAGACAGGAAACACAAAATTATATACCCAGGACCAGCTACATAATTTGCAGAGCTCATGGTTCAGATATTATTAAGAATTTGAAGATCACAACAGCAGAGCACTGAAGCCGGGGTGTGGGGTCTTTCTAAGTGGGGGACTGTGGGCAACACGATCGTTTCTGAGCTCCGCTGTCCTTATTACTTAATTAATGCCAGCCGTTCTCCACAAGAAGCTATTCCCCGTGGAATGCATGTCTCAGATGAAACTAACAGAGCATTTTTCACTTACCCTGGAGGTGGCCACTTCCCCACAGTCCCTCACACACGTGAATACCTCTGTGCTAACACATCATCGGCACCACTGAGTAGCCATCGTCCTGCCACGAGGGAAGGTCACTCACAGGTGCGACGTGTTTCTGCTTGCCGCTGTCTCAGCCCAAACCAGGGAGGCGGGTGCTCTGCTACCTTTGGCAGGTGTCCTGACTCGGTAAGAAACAGAGCAAAACGGTTCCCCAAGAGTTGATGAGCCGGCCCCTTGAGGTTTGGAAACCCAGTATCAGGAGAACCGTCGCTGGAAGGACGTTAACAGGACGCTGGTCAATTAAGCAAAGCGGAAACGGATACTTGGAGGAGGAGTTGGGACGCACAAGTCATAAAAGGCATCGGGAAGCCCTTAATGATTTTTCCCCAATTCAGCACTACAGAAACACGCAGACACACAGAACCAGTGCATCAATGAAGAATTCTATCACAGGAGGAAAACATTACATAAGGTTACAAACTGTTTCGCAAGAAAGTGAAGGCTTGTGTCAGTTCAGACAAGTCCTTTCTTCCCATCCTAAGCTGTTCACGTGTACGTGGAGCTTTTTATCAGACCCTCTGGGGAAGGGCTGCGGCCCCCTGGAGGGTTGGCTCCGCCCAGGCAGGAAGAGTGACGTCTCAGAACGACTCCCCCGAGAGCCTCCTTCCCAGTCCCTCAGCACACATTCCCAGAAGAGCCCTCCGTCCGCCCTGCTCCTGCCATGAGCCTCGGCCTCCTGTGCTGTGTGGCCCTGGGTCTCCTGCAGGCAGGCGAGTCCTGAGCAGCGTCCCTTTCCTGAGTGCAAACCTCAAGGTCCCCGCTCTAGGCCTCTCTGTGGTGTCTGTGGCATCAGCTTTGTCTCCTCCACAGGGCCCGTGAATGCTGGCATCACTCAGACCCCCAGATTCCAGATCCTGGGGACAGGACAGAGCATGACGCTGAGATGTGAACAGGACAAGGACCACGACTACATGTCCTGGTATCGACAAGACCCTGGACATGGGCTGCGGCTGATCCATTACTCCATCAGTGCTGGTACCACCGAGAGAGGAGAAATCTCCAATGGATACAACGTCTCTAGGTCAAATACAAAGAACTTCCCTCTCACGCTGGCGTCCGCAACTCCCTCCCAGACATCTGTGTACTTCTGTGCCAGCAGTGACTACACAGCGCTGCACAGCTGTCTCCTCTCCGCACAAAAAAAAGGCAGGGGGAGGGCCTGCGTCCCGGGACTCAGCAGAGCCCTCGGCACACTCCCAGCCCCCGGCCCCCCCCCCCCCCCCCCCCCCCCCCCCACCCGAGCCCCAGAGCCCCGAGGGGCCCAAGCGCCCAGAGTGAACCTCGATGTGGGCTGAGGTCCGTCTGCAAGGCACTGACAGCCTGGCCTGGACCCGACCAGACCTCAGGCGGCCGTGTCTCCACCTCTGGTCTGTGCTCTGAGCCGCCTGGCTGGCTGCGAAGGTGCTTCCCCAGCTCTGACTGTTCTACCCCCTGCCTAAGTCTGATGCTTCCGGGATGGAAATTGTTTGCACTGGGTAAACAACACAATGTGTTATTAACAATGTGTTATGAAATCAGATCTATCTAGACGCCCCCCCTCCTTGTCTCCCCCTGGCACCTCAGTGCATTGCTCTCCGATGCCCGGGTAGGGACCCTGCTCCCCCCAGCCTTTCCATAGGGGCAGCCCCAACAAGGCCCTGCTGGGTCTGTCCTCTAGCTGCCTCCGGGCCCAGCTCGCACAGCTCGCTGGCCCTCAGCTCTGGCCACACTGCTAGGCCCTCAATTCTGCCATGTCCCTTCCCATCTCAGGGACATCCAGGGCTATTTCCTCTGCACTGGGCATGAGTCCTTCCTTCTTGCAATGGCTGACGCCCACTCATGCTCCTGTTCAAGGTCACCCTGGGTGGCCTGCCCTTTCTGGGCACACCTGTTTCCAGGGGAATGGCGGACACAGCTGGTGTATCTCTGTTCTAGATTTTCCAGACTTTTCTCTCAATCGGTTTTAAAGTACTGGTATCATAAAGACAAACTTCTCTGACAACCGTACATCGAAGGCTGAGCTGCTTCAGACTCTGTGTCTCCCTCTCTCTCTGCCCCTCCCCTGCCCACACTCTGTCTCTCTCTCTCTCAAAAATAAATATTAAAAAAAAAATTAAAAATAAATATATAAATTTCAAAAACAGAAAGGAGGTTACAAATACTTATGTAGTCATCCAAGTATGTTACAACATAAATCCTGCTCCCTGAGGTTGAGGGGATGGACAGAGAGGGTGATGTCACTAAGTGAACTCCCTTGCGTGGATGAGGGGCCTCCCTCCTCCTCCACTTGTGCTCAGGAGAACCTGATGTGGCGAACATCCTAGCCCTGTCCTGACCCTGCCATGGGCACCAGACTCCTCTGCTGCGTGGCCCTCTGTCTCCTGGGGGCAGGTGAGTCCTCAGAAAACCGAGTGAGCGCATGTGTGTGAGCTTGAGGGATAAACACATGCAGTGATTGCAGTCGATTTCCTCCTCGCTGATCCCAACTTTGTCTCCACAGGTCACACAGGAGCTGGTGTCCTCCAGTCCCCCCGGCACAAGGTCACAAAGAGGGGCCGGGACGTGGACCTCAGGTGTGACCCAATTTCTGGTCATGCTGGCCTCTACTGGTACCGACAGGCCGTGGGGCAAGGCCCGGAGTTTCTCGTTTCCTTCCGAAACAAGGACAAATTAGACTCCTCAGGGATGCCCAGCAACGATCGGTTCCAGGTGAACAGGTCCGAGGGGTCCTACTCCATTCTGCAGATCCAGCGTGCGGAGCCGGGGGACTCAGCTGTGTACCTCTGTGCCAGCAGCCTTACCACAGTGGGGCACAGCCACCTCCTTCCTCTTCACCAACCTCAGACTTCTCTCTCCCTGCACCTGAAGACCGTAAACAGGCTGTCCCTACTCATCGTTCCCCAATCACAAGAAGTAGATTTGGATATCAGCTCTCAGCTTTCCTTGGGTAGAAAAAGACACTAAACTCCTGAAGGGAATGTAAATGAGGGTGGATCAATAATTATGGCCCATAGGGTTGGAAGACTCCCAGGGCTGGCTCCGGGCTCCAAGGCCAGGACTGAACAACAGGGACACAGTGGTCCTTCTGCAAGACCCGAGGCTTTCCGTGTAGTGGGCGGTGCCTCCTTCTCTGCATTTGTGGTCCCATCTGGGAAGTTTGTGTCATTCTTGACATATTCTTACTTCTTTTTTTTTTTATTATTAATTATTTATTTTGAGAGAAAGAGAGAGAGAGACCATGGAGGGGCAGAGAACGAGGGAGAGACAGAATGCCAGGCAAGCCCCAGGCTGCCAGCACAGGGTCCAATGTGGGGCTCGAACCCCCAAGCTGTGAGATCACGATCCGAGCCGAAATCAACAGTCAGACGCCCAACTGACTGAGCCACCCAGGCACCCCCATATTCTTACTTCTAAAGCCTCTCTGTCCCTGAAACTTTGGAAGCTCGAGCAACACAGGAGCAAGTCTGTCTTCCTGTATGAAGCCAGGTCTTTACTGCTTTCGTGGTGGTGACGGGATAAGAAGGATCATAACGACAAGATGTCCCATCCTCTGCCCAGTTTGGAGACGCCATTTTCTCTCTCTGTCGTCATTTCCCACGTGTGCGGTCCTAGCGTGAGAGTGCAGCACATTTGGTTTTTTTTTTTAATTTTTTTTTAACGTTTATTTATTTTTTTGGGACAGAGAGAGACAGAGCATGAACGGGGGAGGGGCAGAGAGAGAGGGAGACACAGAACCGGAAACAGGCTCCAGGCTCTGAGCCATCAGCCCAGAGCCCGACGCGGGGCTCGAACTCACGGACCGCGAGATCTCGCGAGATCATGACCTGAGCCGAAGTCGGACGCTTAACCGACTGCGCCACCCAGGCGCCCCGAGTGCAGCACATTTGAACAGCTTCCCCAGGCTCGCCTCGACGCCCTGAGTGAATCCAATTTTTAGAGACGCAGTGTTTTCTTTGACGCACTGGCCTTTTCATTTGAAAAAATTCCCTTGAATTCTTTGATTCAAGAAGACAGGATATTTTCTTGATAATAATGCCCCTATTTCCTTTTTACTTATTTTATTTGCTGCATTATATATCATGATATGTTACTTGTTATAAATATAAATAATTATGCAGTTATAACATCTTCCACTCACCCGCCGGTGAAGCTGTGGTTTGTATCTATGAAGTCAAAAGCCATGGTCGGAGCTCATAGACTCATGGATCATGAGTTTCTGGGTGTCCTAAGAGATAGTCCAGGACCCTGAGTCTGGGATAGACTGTCACAGACTCAGCAATGATGGAGGTGCCCTGAGCCTTTCACAGCTGGTAAGGGGGTTACAATCATCCCAAATCCACTTATCAGAAACTGTGGTGTCTCAGGACACCAGATTTGTTTCCCCAGAGAATGGGTGTTCTTGGAAGAGAGTTTTCCTGGTCTTATTTTTTTTTTTTCATTTTTATTTATTTATTTTGAAAGAGGGAGAAAGGGAGAGAGAGGGAGAGAGGGCATACAAATGGGGAGGGGCAGAGAGAGAGGGAGAGAGAATCCCAAGCAGGCTCCACACCGTCAAAGCAGATCCCCACGCGGGGCTCGATCTCACAAAAACGTGAGATCATGACCTGAGCTGAAATGAAGAGTCCAATGCTCAACCATCTGAGCCACCTGGGCACCTCAATCGTGGTCTTATTGTAACGTGGCATCAGCAAAGCACTGCTCAGTCTGCTTCCCTGTGTCTCCGGAAGTGAGCCAGGCTAGGGCCCAGCTGGGGATCCCTTTTCCTTGGAAGGCCATGCCAGAGACTTCCTTCCCAGGCCCTGTTTCCAACTGTGCCACCAGGTCTCCACATGGCCCTGGCAGTCCCATCTCGCCTCCTTGCTGCCTAAATCAGGACACGCACATCGTACGAGCTCTCCATTGAGTGTCGCCTGTCCCTGGCTCACCTTGATTCCGCCCATCCTTATTTTCCCACTAGACGCTGTATCCTCCACGACTGCCTATTGTCTTGTAAGATGTTCCGTATTTTTCTTATATTTCAATTTTACTTTTTATTTGCACACACGGGACCCCATGGTGAAGGTAGTCTCGTTATATTCCTAGTCCTCAGCTGATCTGTATTTTGGAGGTACGGTTGGTTGATTGCCCCCTTGGTGGTGGAAGAGGGGCGTTTTTGTTTACTTTTAGTAACAGAGATAAATGAGCCTTCTTTTTTTTTTTTTTAATTTTTTTTTTCAACGTTTATTTAT